CACCCCAACCGGTTGCAGCAGATGGCCCCGCCCCTCCCTGAGCCCGGTTCTGCTGGAGGTTTCTTCCTGTTAAAAGGGAGTTTTTCCTTCCCACTGTCACCAAAGTGCTTGCTCATAGGGGGTCATATGATTGTTGGTTTTTTCTCTGTATCTATTATTGTACGATCTACTATACAATATAAAGCACCTTGAGGCGACTGTAGTTGTGATTTGGCGCTATATAAATAAAATTGAATTGAATTGAATGGGTGAGTGTGAGATCATTTCACATTTGCCATTTCTTTCTTTATTTTTCTTTTCTTTTTATGTGTGTGCAAACATTTCTGGGTTTTTTTTATTTCTTGGGATTCGGTATCTTTGGAGGAGTTTATCTCTGTATGTGTGCAAATGTATGTGGATTCATTTAATCCTGCAATCCTGAGATTTAAGGTTGGATCAAGCTCAACGCAGGCACACCGAATGGGCCATGCATGATCAGGAAACATGTGGAAACATTTCCGTGTTTGGATTGCTTGGAATTTTGTTCCGGTGGTTTCTTTAGCCGTTTCTATCTCTGTATGTGTGGAAATCTTTGTGCATTCCCGTGTTCCTGCTTTGAGATCTAAGGTTGGCTGAATTGGTTGATCTCTGTGGACAATCACATTTGTGCACAAACATTTCTGTGCTTGGATTTTTAGGAATTTTGGATTGGTAATCAGTTTACCAATCCAGATGTGTACAGAAGTATGTGCATTCATGTGTACATGTGTGGAGATCTGAGGCTGGTTTCTAGGATGGACCTCTGCACATAATCATATGTGTGTGCAAACATTTCTGTGTTTGGATTGATTGAAAATTGGGTCTGTTGGTTTCTTTGTTAGCAGTTATCTCTGGTTGTGTGCAAATGTGTGCATGCGTTATTTCATTATTTAATTAATTAATTAAATTCATTTTGCACTCGTGGCTCTCCTTAGCCTGGTTTCCCCTTTTGGCAATAACCTCTTTGGCTTTGGAGAAAACCCTTTCACGTGGTACTGAAGAGGCAGAAGTGCACAAGTACCCCACAGTAGGCTTATGTTAGGCTAAAATATATGCACCTCCACCCACGGATCCGTTCCACTTTATGTATGTCCAGAAATCACACCAACACTCACTTTCTGAACTAGCGAGGCTTCAGACGTCATCACCGACGTCACTCACCCATAAAGGTGCAAGCCAACACACGATTCCTGAAATACTTCCTGGACTTCTCAACACACTCTCCGAAACCTTCCCTTTTTTTTCCAGCACATATCATTTTTATGTCAAGTACGCATTTTTAACGCAGCATTTTTTTTATTATTAATATTATTATTATCATTATTGTTTTTTTTGTTTTTTTTTTACAGTTTCACTTAAAATCGCTGTTAGGCTAAATGAATGTTTTATTCTGAAATTCGGCCCGGAAGTCCGTTCGCCTGTGGCAAAGTGAAACAAGAGCATATCGGGGTCTTGGGAAAAAGGGCTGCTTTGCTAAGGTATGTGTTACTGCGTTTGACTTGCGTGTTACTAGTATGTTATGTGTGTGTTTAACGTGAACGGCGATCTTCGGCACTGTGAAAATCCGCCTCCGCGTTTTGAGGTTTGAGTTGGTTTCTTGTCCCTCTCGAACGTGAGCTGAGGTACGACACCCAGGTGTTGACGAGCTTTTTGGAAACAAATGTGCTAATTAGCGGTCTAAGACTTGTCCTTGGTTACAAAGCCTTTCTTGCTGTTCTCTAACAAAATGGTGTCTGTGTAACAGGAACACCGGGCTCGGTCTCTTTCACGGGCGAGTTTTATCTCGGTGTGCGTTTCAGCGAACGTCATGTTAGATTTTTCACACCGGGACCTTTTTTTTTTTTTTTATAAACATGGCTGTTCAAGTCCTTTGCCAGGAAGTATACATCTGGTATCATCAGCATGGGCCAGAGAGAAACTGTGGGTACGCTGGGAAAGGAAGTCCAATTAACGCTTAGATGTCGGTAAGACGTTGGGCAAGCAACTATTCGCATCATTTATATGTGTAAGCAGTTTCGCATAAGTAGTAATGCCAAAGTTTCACTTTTAAGCTTTGAAAGTTCAAAAGTAGTTTTGTAACATTTTAGTTTAAGAAAAAGTGTTAAAGTACTCAATGCAGAAGAATTTCCCTTGTTAACGTTACAGTGGGGGAATAATTATTTGCTCTTCTGCTGAATTTGTTTGTTCACTTACCAAAAAAAGAACAGTCTCAAATTTTTATGGTAGTTTCATTGATATTCTCTCTCTCTCTATTAAAATGAAACACACGCACATTACATAAAAGTTGGAATTTATTTGCAGGTCATTAAGTCAGATGAGTATTTGAGCCCCTGTAACAAAGCCAGAATACAACCAAATGAATTAGATCCTTCTGTTCTCAACTTGTTTTGTGCATTAAGCACACATAACAAGATTCCACAGAATCAGTGTCTTTCATTCCTACATCTCCACCACCGTGGGAAACACCAAAGGACCTCGTGGATAAGATTGTAGACTGGTACAAGGCTGGACTGGGCTACGAGACCATGAGCAAGAAGCTTGTCAATCACCTGAAGGAAGCTGGAGCCACAGTTAACAAAAACATACCTGGTAATCCACTATGCAATAACGGATTGAAACACCCACAAGGTCCCCGTAATCAAGAACATGTATAGGCCTGTCTGAACTTTGACAGTGAACATCTTAATGATTCACAGGAGGCCTGAGGAAAACTGCTGAAGTTGCATGAAACCAAAATCAAGCTCTTTGGGGAACACCATCCCCATACTCGAGCACAGAGATGGACACACTGTACTTCTACTGTACTGCACACATTGTGATTGGTACATGGTGAAAATTATATAGGGTAATTTACTGGTTCACTCTGGGCTGTTTTATTGGGACTGACAAAGAGCCACAGATGAGCAGCTGGCATATTCTTATTCTTATTCTTTGACCTAAGCATTCGTGTTGCATCTCAATTACATCAAGGGGACGCTGGGACGCGTTGCTATGATAATGACCATCCACATCAGATGGTACTAGATTTTAATGGACAAGCAGTCAATCCAAGTAGGTACTAATGGAAAAGTGCTTTGGTTGAGGTTTGTGCTCTTGGAGTGCTTGTTTATCGCATGTGGTTGCCTAGACACTGTGGATGATTCTTCTGATATGACCCAAAACATGCTGCCAAGGCAACAAAGGAGTGGCTAAAGAAGCATATTAAGGTCCCCGGCTGTCCTACCCAGACTCCAGGCCTCAATTCTATAAAAATCTGTGAGACGAGTTGAAGCCTGAGAAAGAAACCTTTAGAGTTTCTATAAAGAAGAGTTATCCAGAATCCCCCCTGTGATGTGTGCAACCTTGATGGCCAACTATAGGAAACATCTGTCAGCTGTGCTTACAACAAGGGTTTCTCCACCAACAACAAAGTCATGTTTTGTCAATTCCCCGATTGTGTACTGCTGGAAGCTGAGGTGGAGCTTTTTCTTCAGTCTGTGGCTGTTTTCATCATCTGATTCTTCTATTTTTTTATGTGTCACTTTATTAAACGATTGCTTATTGATTAAATGATTTGTGTACACAGATCATGGATCTCCTCAGCAGTTTGGAAATCTACATCCCTGCGGAGGCTGAGGTGAAAAACATCCCTTTGTTGACCTTGCCAAAGTCTGTACTCAGAAGAATGGGCCTCCCTCTACTGAATGCCTCCAGGAATCTTGCAGACTCTCCAGAAGGCATATGGATTTCTCCAGCAGTTATACGGAAGAAAGGCCAGAGACACACAGGAAGTGCAATAGATAACATGACCTCCGTGCTGGGGAAAGAGTTGCGCGCTTCAAGGGGTCCTTTTCGAATGTCTTTTGTTTCCTCGAACCGTGCAGCTCACGAGGTGCTGAAGGGCACCGTTCCCAAGGCACCTCTATGTCAAACCTCTCAATTCCCTTCAGACTCTGCCCCGCGAACCGGTCGAGATGCTGTCGTCATCTACCGTGGGCAAGTTTACTTGTCCATCAGAATGCCTAGTCGTAGCCATAGTCAGCGTGGGAAACAGATGACTTCTCAGCCTGTCACTCCTTCAACGTCCCACTTGTCTTCAAAGAAAAGGAAAAAGGTAACACAACTTTCTTTCTGCTAAAACGACCAGTTTACAAAAAGTCTAGCAGAGGTCGTATTTACACAGAGCAGTCTGTTGCTGTTCCAGAAGGGAGAATGATTCAATACAACACAGTTATATATCATTGAAAAGAATCATAATGAATATATTTATGTTACTATTAACCTAAAACACACAAATGCTCTCCATTCTTTTCTCTTTTCACATGGTTTAGCCTGATCACTCGGTGTAAACTCTTGATTATTGGTCTCAGCCTTTATCTGAAACCAACCTGACATCATGTAACAGAAACACCGGTCCAGCACATGCAGAAATTATATTGCTGCACGCCGCAGGAATATAACAGCAGAGGGACATGATATATTTAAATCCACAAACTCTGTATTAAACAGAAAATGTAAGAAGTAGAAATGATTAAGTTAGCTTTGGAGAGACAAAGTGTGACATGGACACAGTGGACTGGTATCTCTGTTACGTGCCTTGCTGTGATATCGAGTTGCTGAAAGGGGTTGATTTCAGCCAGGAACCGACATCTGGTGAGAATTTTATGTTCAATACACAGAGACAGACAACAGTTCACACCTGTGGGAATTTACATTTAACCTGACCCCACTAACATGTCTTTGGCTGTGGGAGGAAGCCGGGGTACCCGGGGAGAACATGCAAACTCCACACAGGAAAGACCCGGCCAGGGGGTGAAATCCAACTAGGCACCATGTTGCTGTGAGGCAGCAATGCTAATCTTACTTAGCACTTAGTTCCTCCTACACCAAGTGGCACATCGGGCAGCTAATGATCTCTATCGACGTTGGTCTGCAGCAACTGCTACATCTTCGTCTCAGGCGATGTCGACGGTTTTCAGATCATCCATAAACGTTCGACGCCATGTGATTAGCACTGCTTTGACAGTGCTAATCACCACCAATAATAATTGTTATTATTATTAATTTACAGAATATAAAGTTCAAGCTTATCTCTAGTATCAAGATGCAAATAAACATGCATGTATTAGGAGGCCCCTACAAATGTAAAGCTACATGCTGCTGCCTGTAATCAACCTATTTGACAAACAATTGAGCCTTAGGGTTCACCAAAAGTATATTTCATAATATGCTTTTGGTGGGTTTTTTGGAATTCCACAAAAAACTGAACTAAATGACAGAATCGCATCTCCCAGAAGCCTCTGGATTATGTTTATGTTCATTTGTATTTTAGTCCTAGAATGCTACTTTAAACGCTAATTCTGTGACTTTTTTTGTACATCCTTTAGACGATGCTAAGCGACAACAAGCCCAAGAAAAAGCACAACATATCTAAAGTAATGCATACAGAAAACAAGAAGGATGACGCACACAGGACAAGAGATGTTCACTTTCTGCCGAAACCCACTGAGAGTGAGTGTGAAGTGGGCAGCCAGTGTCCTGCAGATTCTAGAGGAGAGCCGCTCTCAGAGGCCCCCCTGAAGGCAGCTTGCTTTCAGCCTCACAGGGAGCCAGAGGAGGATCTGGCTGCCGAGGAAGCAGACGGCCCCGGTGAGAACAATGACAGAGGTGGTAGTCTACAGATGGACATCAGGGAAGTTGACCAAAGTAGCAGGGGCAGGGTGGAGCCCCTGGGTGCAGCTGCCGCCTCCACATCACTGCAGATGGACTGTGACTTTAACGAGTTGGCACAGGAGGAGAAGATCGCTCAAATGAGAGCCAAACTTAGACAGAGCGAAGCTGCTCTAAACCTGCTTTCTTAAAGTGACCTCACATTTGTTAGCCTTTTTGTACTGAATGTTTAGAATA